ATAAATATCTCCTGGAGATACCATACCTTGGCTGCAAGTATCAAGTTTCGAAATCCTTCGTTTTCTACAACTGATAGTCATGGTCATTAATTATGATGAAATTTAGCAACTTCTTGGTAAACATTTGAGCTCCGGTGCTTCAGCGGTGTGTTATTCTTGTTCAGTCCGGAGAAGGCAGTCTGATTTCGGTCAGCTGCGCTCAGTCTGCTCCTCCTCCGAGACAGGCAGACTGAGCGCGGCTGACTGAAATCAAACTGCCTTCTCCGGACGGAACGAAAATAACAGACCGCCAAAAGCCCCGGAGCTCGAATGTCCAACGTAAAACTAACGTTACCGCAGTTTAATGTGGTGCTATGGCGCTGCAGACATTGCACGTTGCTGTTTTGTTCTGTGGTGTTTCTAGTGTAAAATACTTCCACACAGTGGACATGTTTAAATGAAAAGTTGGTTAGCCATTAGCCACAGTGCTACTGCATGTTTTAGCTGGCTGCAAACTATGAACTGGATTTCCTGAATGTGAGGCGGGTCTTCTTACTCTGGGTTCATGAGACACGCCTCCGTTCAGGAAATCCATTCCATAGTTTGAAGCCAACGTGCAGATCAGCTGGCAGGGAATCACATGTGGAGACGTTTTACTTGGAGACACAGAGACATGCATCATGGATCGGAAATGAGTGGCTGAGTGGTTAGAGCAGTCAACCTCCAATGCAAGAGTTGGGGGTTCGAATCCACTAGCAGTCACATGTCCAAGTGTCCCTGGGCAAGACACTGAACCCATTATAGCCTCTGATGTGTGTCCCATCAGTGTATGAATGTGATCTGAAGCACTGATTAGTCTCTTTAGAATGATTTGTTCAATTAGCTTTGTATAGATCTAACAGTGCTGTATGAATGGGTAAATGAGGCACAGATTGTGATGTAAAGCGCTTTGAGTATCTTGAAATAAGATAGAAAGGTGCTATATAAGTACAGTCCATTTACCATTTTACTATTTACATGCGCCTACCTGATCTCACGGCAGAGAGGAAAATTCAAAATGTTGGTGGTGTGGAAGTGTTTTTTTCCTTTGGTGAAGATGTCGCATTCCAAAGATTTTTGGACGACGTTGAGTCTCGTTACATCGTCCCCTGTCTGAGATATTTTTCCAACATAACCTTACCCGAGTTAGGTGTCATTTCTGACGTCACTGAGAAGCTAATAGCCAATGGCACTTGGGTGAGTTTTACCACAGACATTTGGACGTCGTGTTACTGTAGCTCCGTTAGCATGATTAGTTTTATGGCACAATGGATAGACAAAAAACTTTGAACTTAAAAAGGATGTCCTTCATGTACACAAGTACAGAAGATCCCACACTGCAGCTAGAAACCCGGAACAAGCCTCCACAAGTGAGACAGCATTGCAAGTGACTAATGCTAATAAATCATCCATCCATCCATTATCTTTTACCTGCTTCTTCCATTTTGGGTCACGGGGGTCGCTGGTGCCCATGTCCAGCAATCACTGTGCGAGGGGCGGGGTACACCCTGGACGGGTCGCAAGTCCATCACAGGGCCACATAGAGACAAACGAGACAAACAACCATTCACTCCCTCACTCACACCTGGGAACAGTTTAGAGTTACCAATCAGCCTAACATGCATGTTTTTGGTCTGTGGGAGGAAACCGGAGTACCCAGAGAAAACCCACAGAGAGAACATGTAAACTCCACCCAGAAAGGCCCCCAGACCGGGATTTGAACCAGGGACCTGCTCGCTGAGAAGCATCAGCTCTACCAGTTGCGCCACCGTGCTGCCCGCTAATAAATAATATTTGGCACTTTTAATATAAGTGCTATGCATATGGCTGTTACTGAATATATGTCACCAGCTCTTACAGCTGTTGCACTTTTTTGTAGCAAATAAGCCTAAATAAGAGGACTATGTTCTGACAAAGGAACGTATATAAAATATTGGCATTGGTTATCGACCAAATACATTTTAACTTATTGGATATTGTCCAAAAAAACAATATCGTACATCCTTAATTTATATGGTGCTGGTGGCCATCTTGGATTTTACCATGGCAAGTCAGTTTTGATCATGGCCTTTCTTATTCAGCCCCACATCAACATGGAAGTCAGTAGTTTGCAAACTTTTTTTAATTTTCATGCTCATAACATGAAGGGATGGATGGTTTGGATTATTGGTGTTTTGAACCATTTGGCATGACTGTCTCAGAGGAACTGATGGGGGAGAGGGCGGCCCTGGAAGCCATCTTAGCACCAGCAAACTGTTTTTTTTTTTTTCTGCTATGGAGTGTGCTGTTTGTGGGTATCAGTTTGTTTGGTGACTCCTCAGATTGAAAGAAGTCCTTTGGATGAAGGACAAAACATCTCAGATTAAAAAAGAAACCGTCCAGATGACCTGACTGAACTTTGTTGGATTTTTACCTGGATTGTTGAGCATGAACTTTGATGATGGTGTATTTCCACTCCTGCCAGAAGTTTAATTTTATCACATCATTCATTCAACCTTTATTTAGAAAGGTAAATCCCATTGAGCCTCAAGGACTCATTTACAAGAGAGACCTGATTTCAACAAAGAATGATGACAACAATGGACAACAGCAACAGCAATAAACAGTTATAAAAAGTCATACTGCAGTTTTTTTGTTGTTTTTTTTTTTACAAATAGGATGGCTAGAAGAAAAAGGTAACAAAAACAGCTAGATTCTAAGGCGAATGTAGAAAACTAAAAACAGGAACATGTCTGCATTGGTCCCTGCCAGGAGTCCAACAGATTCTTAAAGCCACTTAGAGAGGTCAAGGTCGAGAGCTTCAATTGTTTTTGTAAGATATTCCAGGAAACAGGAGCGGAGTAGGAGAAGGCCCTTTTGCCTAGTTCAGTCCTCATTGAGGGAACACTGCAGGTAATAATGTCCTGAGAGCGCACGCTGTAGCTGCACTATCGCAGAGACATGTAGGAGGAGATGTATGAAGGCAGCAGACCAAGAAGTGATTTAAAGATGAAAATATACCAGTGAGAGAGTTTGCGTGAAGTTAATGATGTCCAGTTAACCAGTGAATACTGGGTGCAGTGGTGGGTACGATAATCACAGCCAGTTATGAATCTTAGTGCACCATGATAGACAGCATCCAACATCTGCAGGGTTCTTGTAGGAGCGTTCATGTAAATAATGTCACCGTAATCAATTGAGGGAAGGAAAGTCACAGATGCAAGGCGTTTTCTAGCATTCAGGGTTAGACAGGATCTGTTTCTGAAAAAGAAACCCAGTTTAACTTTCAGTTTCTTTACCAAGTTTTCCACATGAAGCTTAAAAGAGAGATGTGAGTCGACCAAGATACCCAAATATTTATAGGAATCAACAAACTCAATGGGGACACCTTTTGAGGATAAAATCGGAGGAAGAACTGCTGGGACAGACTTCCTATTTGAAAAAAGCATCCCTTTGGTTTTGTCGGCATTTAGGACAAGTTTGAGGTGAAACAAATCAGTCTGGATGATGTTGAATGCAGATTTCAAAAGCTGGAAATCCTTAGCAACTGTTTTAGCTCGACAATAAACAACTGTGCCATCAGCATAGAAATGTAAGGATGCATTAGGGATGTTTTTACCTACATTATGTATGTAGATTGTAAAGAGGATAGGTCCTAAGACTGAGCCTTGTGGTACACCATTGTTGACTGTTAAATAACTGGAGGAAGTACCATTATGTTGAACACATTGCCTCCGGTCTGAGAGATAGTTAGAGAACCAACCAATGGTGTGTTCTGAGAAACCAATTTCTGAGAGTTTATGACACAATATGTTATGATCCACAGTGTCAAAAGCTTTAGACAGGTCTAAGAAAAGTGCAGCACAATAATCCTTAGCATCCAGTGCTTCAACAACATCATTAAGAACCTTCAGTGAAGCAGTGGTTGTGCTGTGTTGTTTCCTGAAACCAGATTGATGTGGAGGTAAGATGTTAAATGAGTCCAGGTAATTTTTGATTTGAGAGTTTATCAGTTTTTCTAGAACCTTGGCTAAAATGCAGAATTTAGAGATTGGTCGATAGTTGTTCAGTGAGGTGGGGTCACCTCCCTTCAGCAAAGGAAGAACAAAGGCTGTTTTCCAAGTGTCTGGGATGGAGTTTTGTCTTATGGAGAGATTGAAGATGTGGGTCACAGGGACTGTGATGATATGAGCAGCCAGCCTTAAGAAATAAGGTGGAAGTTCATCTGGACCTGCAGATTTTTTAGGATCAAGATCTTTTAACAGTTTATTAACCTCACTGACTGAGAATGGAGAAAAAGAGAAGCTGTGATTAACTGAGGATTGACTTGTAGGAGGGATTTGATTTGTACAAGTTTGGTTATTAAGTGAAGTGGCTGATTTTCCATTAGTAACTGTGTCAACATTTCATCAGTGTGTTGTTTTCAGAGTTTTACTCCAGAACCAGACAGTCTGCAGGCTCCTCCTAATGTTCAGTGACTTTAGGAGGCTCCGTGTAGTTTTCTTCAGGGAGCGGCTGGACCTTCTCCTCCTCCGTGTTTCTGACATGTTCAGCTGGAGATGACTAAAGATGGAGCTGACAGACGCTGTGAGCACCAGCCCAACAAAGGAAGTCTGCCGGGGTCAGTGGGGCGCCGCGGGGGTGTCAAAGTGCCAGAGCCCCCAGTAAGTTTTCCTGGCGTCATTGTTGCGACACACTTTTAATTCGGAGGTGTTTTCTGCGCCATGCGGGGGGAGGAGGTCGGAGCTGCGCGAGAAATCCCTCCTGCAAGGAGGTCTGGTGATTTAGGAGGGGAGGGGCAGCGAGAGGCGCTGTGTGAGTGCGTGCGTGTTGGGTGCAGGGGGGGAAAGAGAGCTGAGTGCGTGGAGCTGGTCGCACGCGCGCGCACGCACACACGCCTTTTCTTCCTCTCTTTCTCCTCTCCAATGAGCCAGACTGGGAGAAAGCTGCCAATACACACACGCGCGCGCGCATTCTCACTTGCCAGACACACACACACTGAGGAGGAAGAGGAGGAGACGGAGGCAACAGTTCAGTCTGCGGGAGCAGCGCAGGGATCTGCTCGTGCGCTCCAGAAACTGCGCACTTTCCTCCTGTTTGTTTGTTTTTCTGTTGTTTGTTTACTTCTGTCAGCAGTGACTGGACTCAACATGGCACAGCTTTGAGGATTTATCCTTTTCCCTCGTCTCCGTCTGTGGAAGTAATCGCCACAGTGCGCGCGCTCAAGATGGGGCCAAAAGTGTTGTGGATGAGAGGAGGCGTCCTGCCGGCCGCCGCGCAGCTGCTGCTGCTCGCGCTCCTGCACGGCGCCGCCGGCAAAACGCTCAAATACAAAGTTTACGAGGAGCAGAAGGTGGGCACCGTCATCGCCCGCGTGAAGGAGGACGTCTCCGGAGTTCTGTCCAAGCTGCCCGGCTCCCTGAGCTTCCGCTTCCGCGCCATGCAGCGGGGCAGCGCGCCGCTGCTGTCCGTCCGCGAGGAGGACGGAGAGATCAGCATCGGAAGCAAAATCGACCGCGAGAAGCTCTGCGAGAAGAACCTGAACTGCACCATCGAATTCGACGTGGTGACGCTGCCCACGGAGTACCTGCAGCTGTTCCACGTGGAGGTGGAGGTGCTGGACATCAACGACAACTCCCCGCACTTTTCACGCGCAATCGTGCCCATCGAAATCTCCGAGAGTGCGTCGGTTGGGACGCGCGTCCCGCTGGACGGCGCGGTGGACGCAGACGTGGGGGAGAATTCCCTCCACACCTACTCACTGACGCCCAACAACTTCTTTAAGATTGACGTGAGGACCAGGACGGATGGGGCCAAGTACGCAGAGCTGGTGGTGATGAGGGAGCTGGACCGGGAGGTCCAGTCCAGCTATCAGCTGCAGCTCACGGCCTCCGATAACGGTGTGCCCCCCAAGTCAGGGTCCACTTTACTCAAGATAAGTATCTCAGATTCTAATGACAACAGCCCAGCTTTTGATGAACAGGCGTATGTCATCAGTTTGATGGAAAATTCCCCTCTTGGCACTCTGATCATAGATTTAAATGCCACAGACCCAGATGAAGGCACAAATGGTAAAATTGTCTACTCCTTCAGCAGCCATGTTTCACCAAAGATCTTGGAAACATTTAAGATAAACCCAGAAAATGGCCACATAACTCTTGTTAAAAAAGTTGACTATGAAACCACTGTTTCATATGAGCTAGATGTTCAAGCTCAGGATTTGGGTCCAAATTCGATCCCTGGACTCTGTAAGATAGTGGTGAAAGTGGTTGATGTGAACGACAACAAACCAGAAATAAACATTAACCTGATGACTCAAGGCAAAGAGGAAGTTGCGTACATATCAGAAGGGGCCCCGGTGGACACGTTCATAGCTCTGGTACGGGTTGATGACAATGATGCTGGCCTCAATGGGGAAGTGGTGTGCAGGCTGCACGGCCACGGACACTTCAGGCTCCAGAAGACCCATGAGAAGAACTACATGATCCTTACCAACATCTCACTGGACAGGGAGAAGAGGTCAGAGTACAGTCTGACAGTTATAGCTGAGGACAGGGGTTCCCCCAGCCTGTCCACCATTAAACACTTCACTGTTCAGGTGCTGGATGAAAACGATAATCCTCCTCATTTTGAGAAGAACCACTACGAGATTTTTAAATCTGAGAATAACTCTCCTGGGGCCTACCTGATGACAGTGGTGGCCTCAGATCTGGATTTAGGAACAAATGGTCAGGTCACCTACGCTATCATAGATGCTTTGATTCAAGCGAGCCCCATTTCTACCTATGTCACAATTGACCCTTCAAATGGTGCCATCTATGCCTTGCGGAGCTTTGACCATGAAGACGTCAGCCGGATAGCATTCACTATTCAGGCTCGTGACGGGGGGAACCCTGCTCTGTCAGCCAACACTACTGTCCTGCTCACTGTTCTGGATGAAAATGACAATCCACCGGTCATCCACTCCCCTGCTCTCAGGAATCATACCGCTGAACTCCCTCTGTGGAAGTATGCATCCCCTGGTCAGCTAGTCACGGCACTGAAAGTCACTGACCGTGACTCTGGTGCCAATGGAGAGGTGAGCTGTGCCATTGTTGGAGGGAATGAGGATGGACTTTTTGTGATGGATGCTCGGCGGTGTGAGCTCCGAACCAATGCCAGTCTGGAGCAGGCTTCACGGGATGTGATGGAGATAAGAATAGAAGTACAAGACAGAGGCACCAACCGGTTGACCACAGGAGCCCTCCTCAGGCTCTCCCTGCAGGAAAACATGGATATCCTCCCCCCTCTCTACCCCACCGGCTCCAGCGGGGCTTCTTTCGATCTCTCGCTCATCATCATCATTTCTCTTGTCGCTGTTTGTGCTCTGCTGCTAATTGTCATGGTGATGTTCGCGACCACTCGCTGCAGCCGCGAGAAGAAGGACCCCAGGCACAACTACAACTGCCGTGTGGCTGAAAACAGTTACCAGAACCACCCCAAAAAGCCTGCCAGACAGATACATAAGGCAGACATTACCCTGGTCCCCACTGTCAATGGAACCTTACCTGTCCGATCTCACCCGCACTCCCCCCTGCCCTCCCCTACACCTGAGAGAGGCACTCTGGGAAGCAGGCAGAGCCATCACAGCCGGCAGTCACTCAACAGTCTAGTCACCATCTCCTCCAATCACGTGGCAGAGAGTTTTGCCCTGGAGTTGGCCCACACCACACCTCCTGTAGAGGTAAGATGTCTGCTTTTTTCCCCTTGCTTACTTTCTCTTCATTTGGACGTATATTTGCTTAAATGTATGACATGCCAAAGGTATCACAAATGTTCATTTGGATTTGAAAAAATGTAAAATAATCTACTTTAAACATTGTTTTATCAAGTTCTTGCTTTGGATTTTATCTGTTGTTCTCATATTTTGTTATCCTCAATCCTCCCTATCATGCTTTTTTTACCATCACCCTCAGCAGCAAATCACAGACTCATGTCACCTCTTTTTCCTTTAGTCCTTCCCCATATTGCACTCCTACCACACAACATTGTCTTGTGGTCTTGGTTATTCAACTCCATTCATTTTCCCTCTTCATTTTTCCCTTTTATTTTTGTCTTTTGTTTGTTTCTCGGGATTGTAGCAAGTCTCACAGCTTCTGTCCATGCTCCATCAGGGCCAGTACCAGCCACGGCCAAGTTTCAGAGGCAACAAATACACCAGAAGCTACAGGTAATGTTCAAATGTGGAACTACCTTAGAGAACCTCTGTGATGTCACAACAAAACCCTTCTGTATAACAGTTGTTTGTACTTTCACATAAAGTAGCTCATTCCAAGAAGTTTTAGTTTGCAGTCTGTATAATGTCATGCACTGTAAAACAGAATTTTGAACAAATTAGAATATTACCCATGAAGAATATTTATGTTTTACTCCAGTACTTAAGCTAGCAAATGTAATATACAAAAATGGTCAAATTTGAACTCAGTATTTATCTTCAAAATGAACTGCAATCTTACATTTTTTTATTGAAATTAACCAAATATAATGGCTCTTTACTACAACGCACTCCATCAACATTTACGTCAATACAAAACATGCACAATGAACAGCTCTTTAGCAGTTTTGACATATAGGAATGTCCTCATAATACTGCTGGAATAACTAACAGGATATTAACGAGGGTGTACGTTTAACAAAGAAACAAACAAAAAAACATGTATCCCAAAGTTGTGGACATCAGTGGAAAATATTGGCTAATGTAAGGCTAGCTAGAGAGCTACATATGCACTGTGCCTTGTTATTAGACATAAAGGATATACATGTAAAAACTAGAGATGTGACAATCTCAAAGTTTCCACATTTTAATGAATCAAGAATTGTGCCCTTCAAAGATCTGTAAACCCCATCTTTTCTAAAACAGAACTTTCCAAACTATTAACTTTTATAACAGTTCTTAAACTTAATTTTAATTAAGTTAGCGGTATTCTTTACACATACTGTACCATTGAAGACTAATCAGTTTCTGTTCACAATAGCAAATGAACCTTCCCTTAAAAATATGCTTCTGCAAACTGCTCTCTTCCGCTACTCCTTTTTATCCATCAAGTTTTCTACATTGTTTTAATGTAACAGTTGTGATCAATGCATCAAGCCTCTGTCTGGCTCTGTGCAGATATGCCCTGAATGAGATGGACAAGTTCAGTCTGAAGGACAGCGGCCGTGGAGACAGCGAAGCTGGGGACAGTGACTATGATCCTGGCAGGGAGTCCCCCATGGATAGGTTCCTCGGTGAGGCCTTTACTGACCTATATTCTCCCAGTGGGCAGCACAGACTGCATGCAGGTACAACCCAGCCCCCAACCTACCACCACATTGACCGGTCTGTCTGTTTCACTGCATTTCAAAACCCATGAGTCCCCCTCATGGGACCTTACATTGAGAGAAAGAGGATTTTTTTGTTTTACCATTTAATCAACTTGTTATGCCTCACTGAACGGTTAAAAAATACATCTACAACATTTGAATGGAGATTGCAAGAGCGCAATCATCCATTCATCCATCCTCATCCATCCATCGATTCATCTATCCTTAAATGCATACATACATACATTACACGCATACACATTACATACAAACATTACATACATACATATATAAATACATACATACACATATACATACATACATACATACAAACATTACATACATACATACATATATACATACATACATACATACACATATACATACATACATACATACATACATACATACATACATACATACATA